TAGGCTCTTAATATGACGTCTCACATCCAGAACGATATGGTCGTTCTTGAGACTTCTGCTGATGTCTCTGTTGATAATGGGATGAACAGGCGCTTGAATTTTTGTCTCCTTGTGTCAGTCTTTTGAAGATATGTCTTCAGGGCTCTGACCGGACACAAGGATAGGTCTGCTATATCCTCTGGGGCGAGGATTGTAGATAGCACTGGTACGTGGAACTGTCTATCTGGCTGACCAGGTAGTTGGTTCTTGGCAATGAAGTCCCAGCATATTGCCCCCTGTCGAATCTGGTTCGACCAAAGTCCAGCGCATGTATCTCTGATATTCGGGCTGCCGTGGCTAGCACAAGCAGGAACAGAGTCTTCTGTGTCAGCAGCTCGAGGGCAGTCTGGTCTAGAGGTTCGTAGGCATCACTCATAAGATGACGTAGAATTACATTCAGATCCCAGGCTGGAGCTCTGAACTTCTTTTGCTGGTCCTTCAGTTTAAAAGATCTCAGCAGAGCAAGTAATTCTGGTACTTTCGTCAACTTGATGCCTGTTTTCATGGTAATCACTGTACTGATGGCGGCAAGGTATGTAGATAATGTCGAACCTTTCTGATGTCTGGTCTGTCTAAGATGACACAGATATTCAGCCACTTGAGGATGAGTAGCTTTCATCGCAGTGAAGCCTTTCCGCCTTGCATAAGTCTCAAACTTCAGCCATTTGTCATCATACAGGTTACGAGTTGATCTGCATAACGCTAGCGTTACTGCCTTGGCTGCCCTGGCGGAGTATCCTCTTTTCTTCAAACATGTTTTGATACGGTCCACATGTGTAGCTGGAACACTGTCGGGTTCCCGTGGACTTGCTTGGTGTGCGGATGTATGAGTAGGTTCGGCCAATCTGGTAACTTGATTGCTGGACTTCCAAGATCTTCTATTAGGTCTAGGAACCATACTCTCGCTGGCCAGTAGGGTGCGACCAAAGTTAGTTGTAGCGCCTGTGTCTGTTTGATCTTCAACAGTACTTCTGGAAGTAATATCGGGGGTGGAAACGCGTAAGCGTTTAGTCCTTCCCAAGATATGCTAAGTGCATCTGTTGCCCAGGCTTGAGGATCTGGAACTGGTGGCAAACAGGTCTATGCAAGAGGATTCTATTCCCTTATGATGAACGCTTCTGGATGGAGCATCCATTCTGTAGGTGACGGGTGCAGTGGTCGGGAGAGAGTGTCTGCAAGTACGTTCTTGGCTCCGGGTATGTGACACGCCTTTTCCAGATGTTTGCTTCCTCCGTAATGTGGAACAACTGGAATGTGAGCTGTAGCAGGCTTGGAGACCTTGTGGATCCTTGCTGATTTATGGAGAATGCCACTGTAGAGTTGTCCGTGTGGACCATCAGCATTCTGTTGTTCAGTGAGCTCGACCATAGTTGTAAGGCGTTGCTCACGGCTTTCATCTCCAGCAGATTGATGTGAAGATGCTGCTCTATTTTGGACCACCTTCCTGATGCAACTTGATTGTTGAGATGCGCACCCCAGCCCTGCTTCAAAGCGTCTCTGCGTAGAGAATGTGTGTCGAAGGCCGGCCTTTTTAAATAGGTCCCTCTGCAAACGTTCGACCTGTGCATCCATCACAGTAGATACCTCTTGAGGTTGTCTGGCAGCAAGATAGACTGCTGCAATGGTTCCGGACAAAACATCTAGACAGCTAGGAGGGATAGTGACGGAGTCGAAGTTACGCATCCTATAAGTGTAGACTTCATCTTTATCCTTAGAAGGAGACTCCAAGTTCAACCCGTTGGCAATCTACGCTGTAACCTCTGAGTCTTGGAAGACGAAGTCTGCTTGCTGATCCAAAGTCTCCTGAATATTAGTGCTAGGTCTCAATGACTCATCCATCTGGGAATCTGTATCCCTTCTCGAACCTTCATCATCCTTTCGCGAACCTCTATCTGAAGATTCCTCCCTATGCGAACATCTATCTTGAGAGTGCTCACTTCGCGAACCTCTGTAGATGCATCTCTTCGCAAACCTCTGTGATGTGAGCTATCCCTTCACGAACGTCTGTCTCGTGATGAGTGACTTCATGAACGTCTGTGAGAGATATGAGATCTCGATCTAGAGCGGCTAGATGTAGGAGATGGATCCTTCAATGTTCTCGAACGTTGAGGGTTCGCGGATGTAGAACTGTGAGTAGGCATCTCATCTCTTTTATCCTCTTCCACGATGACAGAGTCGTCCGACTGTGGAGACTTTCGCAAAGGTGTACGTTCGTCAACAGAGTCTTGAGATATAGTTCTATGAGGAGTAGGTCTGTGCAGGTCCGTAGGTTCGCGCTTCGCCAAGCATTCGCTTCTTCCTCAAACCTACGTTCCATCATGGCCATCATCTGGTTGGTGAATTGTTTCGTCAAACAGCTGGCCTGCTGTGACCGTTGCAGGGGATGATCTAGTAGTTGTAGCAGTCGATTGAGTCGCTGATCTCATAGGTACTTCGGGTAGAAGTAACGGGGGTCATCAAAAACGTCTACTTCATGTGGAGGTAATACCTCTTCGTTGAAGGATTTCTGCTGTGTTGATTTATTAGCACGCGTAGATTTACCCTCTGATCTGGTAACAGATGCTTTCTCTGCGATGTAGAAGAAGATGACGTCTTTTTCTTAGACTGAGTCAACTGTGTTGTAGTCGATCTCTTCTTGGCCCCCTTACCAGCAGACTGCCCCTGTAATGCACTAAACATAGCACCAGTATCATGAACTTCTGCAGTAGCAAGCAACATACGGTTTGAGGGCTGATCTCCTGTTTTATCAGCCGTGACAGAGATGACTTCCTCACCCCGATCCAAGGCACCTTTATAGATATAAGACAAATATTGATTAAACTGAAGATTTGATAAATCAACACAATAAGTACAGCGCAAGCTGGAAGAACATGGTTTTATGCATGAAGGGCACTGGGGGTGAGGATCAGCAGCGGATAACCTGTGCCTGCAAACACTGCAAGATTTCATGAAATGTAAACAAAGTTACATAACAATGAAATAAAGACACAAATACAAATAATTTGTACAAAATTTGTACATATGTGAAGAGAGTTTCAAGTTTCAAAAAATAGCTCGTTAACTTCGCCTATCTTCGGCAAATTCCGTGATCTTGCAACTTACAAATAATTAATTCCAGTATTGTTTTCGTAATATTCCTCATATCTTTTATAGTTACTAATATTTGGCTACAAATCGATCCATCTTTCACTAGAATATTTTAAATTGTAAACTATTTTGCGACAATCGTCACGACATGCGGCAGAAGTAAGCACGTTTTCGCCGAGGCAGGTCGCAGAACTATCGCTCACATTTATCCGTCTTTCAACCTATTAATTCATGTAAGTACACTCCCTGAGCTATATCTTATATGTACATTGTATATTGACTGCAGAAAACACTGTTTATGTATATGTCAATCCTCATAATAGATTGTAGAGATGAGAATAGCCTGTTTGTATTTGCAGTGCATGTGTTCATCAGTCATCAGTGGAATCAGTCAACAAGTTAGATTTCGCGCGCCAAAAGTGCAGTCCTTTGTTTGTGTGATAGCCCACATCGGTTACTTCCCTTTGCCAACACGCTGTGTGGTGGTAATAGTGAAAGGAAATGTCAACATACTCAGGCTGGCAAAATGTGATATTTACATTTCATTTCTCTGGAGTCTGTTTCTTTTTATATTTTGTTACAAATCTAGTCATTGTTATTTAGCCATTGTAGCATTTGTGCCAACCTAGAACTTTGGTTTTCTAGTATTGTAATTGTTATTGTTAGGTAACTTGAACGCCAGTGGTGACGGATGTAACTCCGTGCTCGTCCTCGCTGTTGAGCAGGTCACCTGGGGGTGAGTTTATTAATCTGTAATGTATATTGTTTATATGTATTCCAGAATTTGTTATGAACAAGCTTTGTTAGATTGGTGATTTTCTTCATTGCGCTGTAAAATAGAAATACTTTTTCATTACAGTCATATGTATGTCAGTCCAACGGTAAACGAACTTGTTTTGTATCTGAATTCTAATAATATTTCCACACACTTATATGTTCAGAATTCATCTTTGTATAATCTGTAAGCTGAAATAGTCGGCAAATTATATCTATATTTCCGTCCATATGTCAGTTCAATACCATCAATGAACTTTGTGCATAACATACAATGTCAGGTGTAGGTGTATAGCATGCTGTTGTAGCAGTACTAAGAAATATTTTTTCATTCTGTTATACAGTGACTGTTGCCTAAGAGTTTGTGATATTTGTATGTTGTAGGTTTTTCTCTGCGTTGTCTCAAGTTGAGAGCATTAAAAAGATGAACTGACCACTCAACCTCCTTGTGTCATATTTTCCGCCCCACACATATAATACATAGTAGTTATTGCCAAATCCATATACAGCATAATTTTGAAGAATAGGACCTAAATAAACAGGATATAATGCCGTATAAGGGACTCCAGTGCTCGCCCAACCATCCGCTTGGGCTAAAAGGGAGAGAGTGACAAGTAAGGCTGGTCACATGGCTGTTTGCGCGGGAAAAGGACAAAAGGGAGGTAAATTGTGGGTGAGTGTATTTTTACGTCCGCTTGGGAACTTCAAGGGATTCAAGTGTTCCACTACCATTCGAAGAGGAAAGGGAGATAAGCAAAAGATCATGAGTCAGGATAAGAAAACAATATCACTTTTTGTTTTTAAACATATTACATTACATATACCATCTTCAGAGATGGTATATATGTCATATCTGTTACATGATATACACCTGGTACATATGTAATATCTGTTACATGATATACACCTGATAAAAATGTCATACCTGTTACATGATATACACCTGGTATATATGTCATATCTGTTACATGATATACACCTAGTTTACATGTTAAACCTAGTTTATGATATACACCCAGTCTAGATGCTATATTTAACATGAATGATATATACTATATGTGATAAGACTATTACACGATATACAACTGGTGTTAGCTTACCTTGACATTTGCCATTGGTCCCCATCTTGAAGCCTTTGCGGCAGATGCAGTGTCCGGTAGTGTCATCACAGCGGTGGTCACAGGTACTGTTCCGACACAGTTCGGAGTGTAAGTTGGCCAAGACGGGATCACTCACATCTGAAATCCCAATTTATCACATAGCTATTCCTTGCCTATCTGGGGAATGGCTTTCCTAACTCAACTACCTGCATGACGTAATGGAAGTCTAAGTGTTTCCAGCCAAATCACACCACTCACTCACTCACTCCCGACTGAATACATTTATTGTTCTCACCAAACCTCTCCACCTTCACAAGCTTCTCGTAAAACACCTCGCCATCTGAGTCCCTGTGGAAAAACACTGTTGCTGTCTTGGACAAGAAGGTTCCAGGAGCATATACAGTGATGTGGACGATGGTGTTGGTGTAGGCCTGGGAGTAGACGCCGCCTATGATGCCAAGGACACACGTGATGGACAAGAGCGTTAGATGAAGACTGCAACACAGGAGATATTGCCATAATGTACTGATGAGGTTCAAGAGATGTCTACACTTGACAACAGTGCTACACAGATGATAGAGACAGCCATAATGTACAGACGAGGGTCACACAATGTCTACACAGATGATAGAAACAGCCATAATGTACAGACGAGGGTCACACGATGTCTACACAGATGATAGAGACCGCCATAATGTACAGACGAGGGTCACAGGATGTCTACACAGATGATAGAGACAGCCATAATGTACAGACGAGGGTCACACGATGTCTACACAGATGATAGAGACAGCCATAATGTACAGATGAGGGTCACACGATGTCTACACAGATGATAGGGACAGCCATAATGTACAGACGAGGGTCACACGATGTCTACACAGATGATAGAGACCGCCATAATGTACAGACGAGGGTCACAGGATGTCTACACAGATGATAGAGACAGCCATAATGTACAGACGAGGGTCACACGATGTCTACACAGATGATAGAGACAGCCATAATGTACAGATGAGGGTCACACGATGTCTACACAGATGATAGAGACAGCCATAATGTACAGATGAGGGTCACACGATGTCTACACAGATGATAGGGACAGCCATTGTGTACAGATGAGGGTCACACGATGTCTACACAGATGATAGAGACAGCCATAATGTAAAGACGAGGGTCACACGATGTCTACACAGATGATAGGGACAGCCATTGTGTACATACGAGGGTCACACGATGTCTACACAGATGATAGAGACAACCATAATGTACAGGCGAGGGTCACACGATGTCTACACAGATGATAGAGACAGCCATAATGTACAGGACGAGGGTCACGATGTCTACACAGATGATAGAGACAACCATAATGTACAGACGAGGGTCACACGATGTCTACACAGATGATAGAGACAGCCATAATGTACAGACGAGGGTCACACGATGTCTACACAGATGATAGAGACAACCATAATGTACAGACGAGGGTCACACGATGTCTACACAGATGATAGAGACAGCCATAATGTACAGACGAGGGTCACACGATGTCTACACAGATGATAGGGACAGCCATAATGTACAGACGAGGGTCACACGATGTCTACACAGATGATAGAGACAGCCATAATGTACAGACGAGGGTCACACGATGTCTACACAGATGATAGAGACAGCCATAATGTACAGACGATGGTCACACGATGTCTACACAGATGATAGGGACAGCCATAATGTACAGACGATGGTCACACGATGTCTACACAGATGATAGAGACAGCCATAATGTACAGACGAGGGTCACACGATGTCTACACAGATGATAGGGACAGCCATAATGTACAGACGAGGGTCACACGATGTCTACACAAATCATAGAGACAGCCATAATGTACAGACGAGGGTCACACAATGTCTACACAGATGATAGAGACAGCCATAATGTACAGACGAGGGTCACACGATGTCTACAAAGATGATAGGGACAGCCATAATGTACAGACGAGGGTCACACGATGTCTACACAGATGATAGAGACAGCCATAATGTACAGACGAGGGTCACACGATGTCTACACAGATGATAGAGACAGCCATAATGTACAGACGAGGGTCACACGATGTCTACACAGATGATAGGGACAGCCATAATGTACAGACGAGGGTCACACGATGTCTACACAGATGATAGAGACAGCCATAATGTACAGACAAGGGTCACACGATGTGTCTACACAGATGATAGGGACAGCCATAATGTACAGACGAGGGTCACACGATGTCTACACAGATGATAGGGACAGCCATAATGTACAGACGAGGGTCACACGATGTCTACACAGATGATAGAGACAGCCATAATGTACAGACGAGGGTCACACGATGTCTACACAGATGATAGAGACAGCCATAATGTACAGACGAGGGTCACACGATGTCTACACAGATGATAGAGACAGCCATAATGTACAGATGAGGGTCACACGATGCCTACACAGATGATAGAGACAGCCATAATGTACAGACGAGGGTCACACGATGTCTACACAGATGATAGAGACAGCCATAATGTACAGACGAGGGTCACACGATGTCTACACAGATGATAGGGACAGCCATAATGTACAGGCGAGGGTCACCACGATGTCTACACAGATGATAGGGACAGCCATAATGTACAGACGAGGGTCACACGATGTCTACACAGATGATAGAGACAGCCATAATGTACAGACGAGGGTCACACGATGTCTACACAGATGATAGAGACAGCCATAATGTACAGACGAGGGTCACACGATGTCTACACAGATGATAGAGACAGCCATAATGTACAGATGAGGGTCACACGATGCCTACACAGATGATAGAGACAGCCATAATGTACAGACGAGGGTCACACGATGTCTACACAGATGATAGAGACAGCCATAATGTACAGACGAGGGTCACACGATGTCTACACAGATGATAGGGACAGCCATAATGTACAGACGAGGGTCACACGATGTCTACACAGATGATAGGGACAGCCATAATGTACAGACGAGGGTCACACGATGTCTACACAGATGATAGAGACAGCCATAATGTACAGACACAAGGGTCACCACGATGTCTACACAGATGATAGAGACAGCCATAATGTACAGACGAGGGTCACACGATGTCTACACAGATGATAGAGACAGCCATAATGTACAGATGAGGGTCACGATGTCGATGTACACAGATGATAGGGACAGCCATAATGTACAGACGAGGGTCACACGATGTCTACACAGATGATAGAGACAGCCATAATGTACAGACGAGGGTCACACGATGTCTACACAGATGATAGGGACAGCCATAATGTACAGACGAGGGTCACACGATGTCTACACAGATCATAGAGACAGCCATAATGTACAGACGAGGGTCACACGATGTCTACACAGATGATAGAGACAGCCATAATGTACAGACGAGGGTCACACGATGTCTACACAGATGATAGGGACAGCGATTGTGTACAGAATGGACACAACTTGGCAAATGAGACTTTTGCAAGAGAGTTTGGACGTAGTGTTTCAAGTTGGAAGGTCTTACCACCATAGAAGACATTTGCGACTTACTATTTTGGCCCCTGATACGTCTTTCCATGTCCTGTCAATGTTGGTTTCCTCAGTTCTTCCTTTGGGTCGGAGTTGTCCGATGTTTTCTGGAAATCCACATAGTTGTAGTTGTCTCCCTTGGCAGGTGTCTGCTGCTTCCACAGACCTTGTTCAGGGATCTTCATCAGTTTTGGGGGAGGAGGGGGGAAGTCAAAGCTGGCATCAGCCTCGACAGGCTGGGGCTGTATGTCCTCTGGGGGAGGGGGTAGGGGTGGGGAATCACTGTCAGGACCAGCTGACCTGGTAGGGGGGGTACACAATGTCTGACTAGATGACTCACACCCAGATTCCCGTGGAACATCATCTGACCCTTTACTGGTGTGAGGGGAGCTCGTACCAAATGTTGTGAAGCCTGTGTTCTTCAGGTTGGGTTTGAGGGAAGTTTGGGGGCCACTTGTGTTGAATCCACCACAGCTACTTGTGTCCAGGCCGCCATTGCTGTGGTTATGTGGGTTGCCAGGATTGGAGGAGTGTGGATTGCACCCTGGATGGGGGGTGTTGGGGACACTGCCATCGGAGAGCCTGTCATCCCCAGAGTCTATTGGGGGGAGTTCAAGGTCAGAGTCATTGATGTCAAAGTAAACTCGGTCTCCAAGGTCAGTCTCAAATATCTCACTACTGCCATATATGGACTGTGAGTATCGGTTCTCCCCCTCCGCTCCATCCATATCGGACGGGGTGTCTTCTGTCACACTTTCACGGATAACACCCAGACGCTGCCCGAGGTCATAGCGCCGAGACACCTGCAATGAGTGAGTGAGTGAGTGAGTCAATGAGTGAGTCAATGAGTGAGTGAGTGTGTCAATGAGTGAGAGACTGAGTGAGTGAGTCAATGAGTGAGTGAGTGAGTCAATGAGTGAGTGAGTGAGTCAATGAGTGAGTGAGTGAGTCAATGAGTGAGAGACTGAGTGAGTGAGTCAATGAGTGAGAGAGTGAGTGAGTGAGTGAGTGAGTGAGTGAGTGAGTGAGTGAGTCAATGAGTGAGTGAGTGAGGTGGTGGGTGGGTATGTGACGGGTTGGATGATCTAGATTACCAGTTGTCATACTTCCATGTTTTGTGAAAGTCTTGGAGGCTAGGCACTTTAGATCACTGACTGAGAGTGGGGTTTTGAATCTTGGATTGAACTAATATTTGACAGATACAAACTAACTTTATGGATGAACAACGTCATAATTCAGGAGATGCTGCATTTTGATACAGATTCTTGTATCGTTGTCAAGCAGGTATGAAACAGGTAGACAACAGGGTTACTATATACAGATAAATTCATCCATAGAGTTTGTCCTTATCTGACTCTCGAGATTCTACAAATGTCACTCAAAGAAGTAAAACTTGACACTTGTAATAATATCCATGCAACTGCACCTGGTAAATCAGATCTTGCCTGACAATATGTGGAACATTCAGCTGACACATCCGCACAAGAAGTGAGGGACACCTAGAGGTGTCACGTCCTGGTCATTACACCTAGAGGTGTCACGTCCTGGTCATTACACCTAGAGGTGTCACGTCCTGGTCATTACACCTAGAGGTGTCACGTCCTGGTCATTACACCTAGAGGTGTCACGTCCTGGTCATTACACCTAGAGGTGTCACGTCCTGGTCATTACACCTCTAGGTGTCACGTCCTGGTCGTTACATCTGTGAGTGTGAATACATCCAACGGATTACATCTGTGAGTGTGAATATATCCCACGGATTACATCTGTGAGTGTGAATATATCCCACGGATTACATCTGTGAGTGTGAATATATCCCACGGATTACATCTGTGAGTGTGAATATATCCCACGGATTACATCTGTGAGTGTGAATATATCCCACGGATTACATCTGTGAGTGTGAATATATACCACGGATTACATCTGTGAGTGTGAATATATCCAACGGATTACATCTGTGAGTGTGAATATATACCACGGATTACATCTGTGAGTGTGAATACATCCCACAGATTACATCTGTGAGTGTGAATATATGCCACGGATTACATCTGTGAGTGTGAATATATCCCAATGATTACATCTGTGAGTGTGATATCTCCAGCTACTCCCCAACCAACATAAACAGAATATACTTCCTGGCATAGCTCCAGCTATTCCCCAACCAACATAAACAGAATATACTTCCTGGCATAGCTCCAGCTATTCCCCAACCAACAGAACACAAACAGAACATACCTCCTGGCATATCTCCAGCTATTCCCTAACCAACCAACATAAACAGAACATACCTCCTGGCATATCTCCAGCTATTCCCCAACCAACCAACATAAACAGAACATACCTCCTGGCATATCTCCAGCTATTCCCCAACCAACCAACATAAACAGAACATACTTCCTGGCATATATCCAGCTATTCCCCAACCAACCAACATAAACAGAACATACCTCCTGGCATATCTCCAGCTATTCCCCAACCAACATAAACAGAATATACTTCCTGGCATAGCTCCAGCTATTCCCCATCCAACAGAACACAAACAGAACATACCTCCTGGCATATCTCCAGCTATTCCCTAACCAACATAAACAGAACATACCTCCTGGCATATCTCCAGCTATTCCCCAACCAACATAAACAGAATATACTTCCTGGCATATCTCCAGCTATTCCCCAACCAACCAACATAAACAGAACATACCTCCTGGCATATCTCCAGCTATTCCCCAACCAACACGAACACAAACAGAACATACCTCCTGGCATATCTCCAGCTATTCCCTAACCAACATAAACAGAACATACCTCCTGGCATATCTCCAGCTACTTCCTAACCAACATAAACAGAATATACTTCCTGGCATAGCTCCAGCTATTCCCCAACCAACATAAACAGAATATACTTCCTGGCATATCTCCAGCTATTCCATACCTCCTGGCATATCTCCAGCTATTCCCCAACCAGCTAACACAAACAGAAATTATACTTCTTGGCATATCTCCAGCTATTCCCCGACCAACCAACATAAACAGAACATACCTCCTGGCATATCTCCAGCTATTCCTCAACCAACCAACACATACAGAACATACCTCCTGGCATATATCCAGCTATTTCCTAACCAACACAAACAGAACATACCTCCTGGCATATCTCCAGCTACTTCCTAACCAACATAAACAGAATATACTTCCTTGCATAGCTCCAGCTATTCCCCAACCAACATAAACAGAATATACTTCCTGGCATATCTCCAGCTATTCCCTAACCAACACAACACGAACAGAACATACCTCCTGGCATATCTCCAGTTACTCCCCAAAAACAAACATAAATGGAACATACCTCCTGAAATATCTCTAGTGCTTCATGACAGGACTTAGGATCATTCCTCTCATCATCTGAGAAAGCTACCTTCCTCTGAGGAACTTTCACTGGTATAGGGACAGGAGCCACACCCGCCTTGACATGGCCAGGGTTCCCTGTGTTTCTCTTGTCAGGGGGGTTGCGGAGGATCTCAGAGGCCAGACCGATCTGGTGGACATCCGCCTGCACCAGGAATGGGGAGTAGTTAGGGTCTGTGAGATCGGCAGGGTCTGCAGAATCTGGTCTGGTCGCGTCATCCCCGGGGTTGGCACCTGCTGTTTGGGGCGGTGCCAGGATGGGATGCTGGGGGTGCTCGCTGTCTCGATGATTTGGGTCAGATGCAGCAGAACGAGTTAGTTTAGGATGGAAGGTGGTCATTTCTCGACCTGGTTTCATGACATAGTGTTCACGAGCTCCGTGTTTTCCTTTCCCCTCCTCCTCCTTGTCCTCCCCATCAGGTTCAGAAGCCCCTGATCCCTCAGACGAGTTCTCTGGGTACTCCATCACTGTGTCATACGTCTCACTGTGGGGCTTGCCACGCCGGAATCTCTTCCTCTTGCCCTTCTTGAGGAGATCTTTGTGAATAGTCTTGCTCTGGGTATGGTAGCGGCTCTTTACCAGATTCTTCTCAGTTATGTTGACAGATGCTTCATCGCCCCGGTCAGTAAAATCTTCACCTTTGTCTTTGTTTCTCAGCTCCTCCTGAAACACAGAAAGGGCACTGTATAGTTGTAGAGTCTGGTGCAGCTCAAGCTGGGGATGTTGTAGAGTCTAGTGAAGCTCAAGGTGGGGGATGTTGGGATGTTGTAGAGTCTGGTGCAGCTCAAGGTGGGGATGTTGGGATGTTGTAGTGTCTGGTGCAGCTCACGGTGGGGATGTTGGGATGTGGTAGAGTCTGATGCAGCTGAAGGTGGGGAAGTTGGGATGTTGTAGTATCTGGTGCAGCTGAAGGTGGGGATGTTGTAGAGTCTACTGCAGCTCAAGATGGGTATGTTGGGATGTTGTAGTGTCTGATGCAGCTCAAGGTGGGGATGTTGTAGTGTCTGATGCAGCTCAAGGTGGGGGATGTTGGAATGTTGGAATGCAGCTCAAGGTGGGGGATGTTGGAATGTTGTAGAGACTGGTGGAGCTCAAGGTGGGGGTGTCTATCATTATAATATGTGTTCTGTTGTCTACCATTATGACACATGTTCTTTTTGTCTACCATTATAACATGTTCTTTTTGTCTACCATTACAACGCGTGTTCTTTTTGTCTACCATTAGAACACATGTTCTGTTGTCTACCATCAGGACATGTTCTTTTGTCTACCATCAGAGCACATGTTCTGTTGTCTACCATCAGGACACATGTTCTTTTGTCTACCATCAGAACACATGTTCTGTTGTCTAACAATCAGGACACATGTTCTTTTGTCTACCATCAGAACACATGTTCTGTTGTCTACCATCAGGACACATGTTCTTTTGTCTACCATCAGAACACATGTTCTGTTGTCTACCATTTCAATGGCCTCTGCTTCTTCCTCCTCTGGCATCTCTGGAACTCTTTTCAGTGTGTCGTCGTTGTGGATGTTGTCTGCCTCCTCAGCCAGCAACGCGATGTCCCCCTGCTGCAGCGCCATCTGCATGCTGTTGCGGGAGCGGTAGATGCCGGGCTGGCTGCTGCTGGCGTAGCTCTTCCTCTCTGCCAGATCATACATGCACTGCTCCGAACTGATCCAGCACACAGCGTAGATGGCAGCACACACAAAGACGAGGAATGTCGCTGCTGCGATCCCAACAAACAACCATAGCAGACTGAACCCTGCAGGGGCACTCTTCTTGTACTGAAACAGCAAATCATAGAAAAACAGCTAAACATGTGCCTCTTCCATGGATAACCACTTAAATGTCTTTTCACTTTTACAATCTGAGGCCTGCCGAGAAAGTTTTACATGTTACTGACAAGTGTTGACATATCTGATATAAAATACACAAGGGCGAGATTCTATTTATCACCCAAAAAAGTTAAATTGTTCCTCAAGTTATCACAAGAGTCAAGAATGAATTGAGTTTCAGGCTCCATTGAACACTACTGCAATATGTCATGGCTTGTCAACTGGATGTGCAATAACAGCATGTAGTGAAGAAAGTCTCTGACTTTACCACTTCAGTGAAATCCATGAATGGTGGACATGGTGCTGAGGTCATAAGAAGAATCAACGTGAACAGGTTCCACAGCTGGGAAACACTCCTGCCATCACATTGTGATGTCATGGTAAACTATGTCACTGTCTAACTGTCACAGTTCATCTGTGTCACACCAACTATGTCACTGTCTATCTGTCACAGTTCATCTGTGTCACGCCAACTGTGTCACAGTTCATCTGTGTCACACCAACTATGTCACAGTTCATCTGTGTCACACCAACTATGTCACTGTCTAACTGTCACAGTTCATCTGTGTCACACCAACTATGTCACTGTCTATCTGTCACAGTTCATCTGTGTCACAGTTCATCTGTGTCACACCAACTATGTCACTGTCTAACTGTCACAGTTCATCTGTGTCACGCCAACTATGTCACTGTCTATCTGTCACAGTTCATCTGTGTCACGCCAACTGTGTCACAGTTCATCTGTGTCACACCAACTATGTCACAGTTCATCTGTGTCACACCAACTATGTCACTGTCTAACTGTCACAGTTCATCTGTGTCACACCAACTATGTCACTGTCTATCTGTCACAGTTCATCTGTGTCACGCCAACTGTGTCACAGTTCATCTGTGTCACAGTTCATCTGTGTCACACCAACTATGTCACTGTCTAACTGTCACAGTTCATCTGTGTCACACCAACTATGTCACTGTCTATCTGTCACAGTTCATCTGTGTCACAGTTCATCTGTGTCACACCAACTATGTCACTGTCTAACTGTCACAGTTCATCTGTGTCACGCCAACTATGTCACTGTCTATCTGTCACAGTTCATCTGTGTCACGCCAACTATGTCACTGTCTATCTGTCACAGTTCATCTGTGTCACGCCAACTGTGTCACTGTCTATCTGTCACAGTTCATCTGTGTCATGCCAACTGTGTCACAGTTCATCTGTGTCATGCCAACTATGTCACTGTCTATCTGTCACAGTTCATCTGTGTCATGCCAGCTGTGTCACTGTCTATCTGTCACAGTTCATCTGTGTCATGCCAACTATGTCACTGTCTATCTGTCACAGTTCATCTGTGTCACGCCAACTGTGTCACTGTCTATCTGTCACAGTTCATCTGTGTCATGCCAACTGTGTCACAGTTCATCTGTGTCATGTCAACAGTGTCACTATCTGTCAGAGTTCATCTGTGTCATGCCAACTATGTCACTGTCTATCTGTCACAGTTCATCTGTGTCATATCAATTATGTCACAGTTCATATGTGTCATGCCAACTATGTCACAGTTCATCTGTGTCATGCCAACTATGTCACTGTCTATCTGTCACAGTTCATCTGTGTCATGCCAGCTGTGTCACTGTCTATCTGTCACAGTTCATCTGTGTCATGCCAGCTGTGTCACTGTCTATCTGTGTCATGTCAATTATGTCACAGTCTATCTGTGTCATGTCAACTATGACACTGTCTATCTGTGTCATGTCAACTGTGTCACAGTCTATCTGTGGTTGAGTCCATCTGTATTACATTGTCATAGTGCATCTGTATTACATTGTCATAGTCCATCTGTATTACATTGTCATAGTCCATCTGTATTACATTGTCATAGTATATCTGTATTACATTGTCATAGTATATCTGTATTATATTGTCATAGTGCATCTGCATTACATTGTCATAGTGCATCTGTATTACATTGTCATAGTATATCTGTATTATATTGTCATAGTGCATCTGTACTATATTGTCATAGTGCATCTGTACTATATTGTCATAGTGCATCTGTATTACATTGTCATAGTGCATCTGTATTACATTGTCATAGTGCATCTGTATTATATTGTCATAGTATATCTGTATTACATTGTCATAGTGCATCTGTATTATATTGTCATAGTATATCTGTATTACATTGTCATAGTGCATCTGTATTACATTGTCATAGTGCATCTGTACTATATTGTCATAGTGCATCTGTACTATATTGTCATAGTGCATCTGTATTATATTGTCATAGTGCATCTGTATTATATTGTCATAGTGCATCTGTACTATATTGTCATAGTGCATCTGTATTACATTGTCATAGTGCATCTGTATTACATTGTCATAGTGCATCTGTATTATATTGTCATAGTATATCTGTATTACATTGTCATAGTGCATCTGTATTATATTGTCATAGTATATCTGTATTACATTGTCATAGTGCATCTGTATTACATTGTCATAGTGCATCTGTACTATATTGTCATAGTGCATCTGTACTATATTGTCATAGTGCATCTGTATTATATTGTCATAGTGCATCTGTATTATATTGTCATAGTGCATCTGTACTATATTGTCATAGTGCATCTGTATTATATTGTCATAGTGCATCTGTCACAGTTTGTGTGCTACAGTCCATTCAAAGTGACTGGACATGGTGTCATGTAGTGTCATGTGAAACAGTACTAAGTACTGTCATGCGCCAAAATGATGGGTGCTGTCATGTAACAGTGTCATGTAACAGTGTCATGTATTGTCATGCGATATACTGTAATGTATTGTCATGTGATATATTTTCGTGTATTGTCATGTGACATAGTGTCCATGGGTGGATTCAGGAATTTTGAAGGGGTGGGTGGGGGTGGGTGGGGGTGTTCAGGGTGTTCAAACCCCTGAACCCCCTATTGGCTCCACCAGCACAAACAAAATCTTCAATGTGGTCTTAAGTCATTTTCAAAAGGGTACCCCCCCCTTCTGGATCCACCAATGGTGTCATGTATTGTCATGTGATATAGAGTCATGTATCATAATGTGACATAGTGTCATGTATTGTCATGTGACATGGTCTCACATATTGTCATGTGATAGTGTCATGTATTGTCATGTGACATGGTCTCACATATTGTCATGTGATATAGTGTCATGTATTGTCATGTGACATGGTCTCACATATTGTCATGTGATATAGTGTCATGTATCATCATGCGTCATAGTGTCAGGTATTGTCATGTGAGATGGTTTTGTGTATTATCATGTGACATAGTGTCATGTATTGTCATGTCATCCTGTGTCATGTATCATAATGTGACATAGTGCATGCATTCTCATGTGACATAGTGTCATGTATGTCATGTGACATAGTGCATGCATTCTCATGTGACATAGCGTGACGTATTGTCATCTGATATTGTGTCATGTATTGTCATGTGATACAGTGTCATGTATCATAATTTGACAGTGCATGCATTCTCATGTGACATAGCGTCATGTATTGTCATGTATTGTCATGTGACAGTGTGACGTATTGTCATCTGATAATGTGTCATGTATTGTCATGTGATACAGTGTCATGTATCATAATTTGACAGTGCATGCATTCTCATGTGACATAGCGTCATGTATTGTCATGTGACATAGTGTCATGTATTGTCATTTGACATAGTGTGACGTATTGTCATCTGATATTGTGTCATGTATTGTCATGTGATACAGTGTCATGTATCATAATTTGACAGTGCATGCATTCTCATGTGACATAACATCATGTATCATCATCTGACACAGTGTCATGTATTGTGTTGTTACATTATGCGACATGGTGTCACGTGACACCGTCCACGTACCACCTGCAGTAAAAGAGCGTTGCGGTGAGGTACCAGGTCTGCCTGGACACTGTATGCATCTTGCAGAGATGGCGATGTCACATTAAGAACCACTCGGAAATCATCAGATTCTTGGAATCGGACAGAACCCTGAAAAATACAAATCATATCTCACAGCCAAACAACAATCAAATACTGAAGAGAAACAAACAGAACAAATAGATGTGTCTTGATCTTCAGAGTTTCCCACAAAGTTTGCTTCTTTATTCAACATGATATAAACATGTCAGATTCAGAGTGAGTGAGTGAGTGAGTGAGTGAGTGAGTGAGTGAGTGAGTGAGTGAGTGAGTGAGTGAGTGAGTGAGTGAGTGAGTGAGTGAGTGAGTGAGTGAGTGAGTGAGTGAGTGAGTGTTGATGTAGAAAACTCAGCTGTTCCCAGCAGACACATCCTTTGAAGGTGACCCAGTGTTTGTGATGAACTTGCTGAGCCCCATGGTCTCAAGGGGATTCATTAGTGTGTTTTCACAATATTGTGGTGACTAGCAACAAGCTTGTGGACAACAACCCTGAGGTGTATCCATGATGAGGTGGTTGCCCAAAGCGTGTTGTCATGTTGAAGTGATCACCTGGTGAGAGCCTTATCAGGTCACACAAGACTGGGGCTCTGAGCATTGACTTGTTGACACAGTGTCCTGATGACCACACACAGACCCAATGTGCTTGTTTGAGGAATCAACTAGTGTAACAACACAACACTGGAGTGTGAAACCCACTCAGGCAGTCTAGCTTTTCACTGTCTCATTTTCTTATTTACCAGCTCTCCTCTTACAGTTCTCACTTATTTACCAGCTCTCCTCTCACAGTTCTCTCACTCTCATATTTACCAGCTCTCCTCTCACAGTTCTCTCACTCTCATATTTACCAGCTCTCCTCTCACAGTTCTCTCACTCTCATATTTACCAGCTCTCCTCTCACAGTTCTCTCACTCTCACAGTTACCAGCTCTCCTCTCACAGTTCTCTCACTCATATTTACCAGCTCTCCCTCACAGTTCTCTCACTCTCATATTTACCAGCTCTCCCTCTCACAGTTCTCTCACTCTCATATTTACCAGCTCTCCTCTCACAGTTCTCTCACTCTCATATTTACCAGCTCTCCTCTCACAGTTCTCTCACTCTCATATTTACCAGCTCTCCTCTCACAGTTCTCTCACTCTCATATTTACCAGCTCTCCTCTCACAGTTCTCTCACTCATATTTACCAGCTCTCCTCTCACAGTTCTCTCACTCATATTTACCAGCTCTCCTCTCACAGTTCTCTCACTCTCATATTTACCAGCTCTCTCTCACAGTTCTCTCACTCTCATATTTACCAGCTCTCCTCTCACAGTTCTCTCACTCTCATATTTACCAGCTCTCCTCTCACAGTTCTCTCACTCTCATATTTACCAGCTCTCCTCTCACAGTTCTCCTCTCACTCTCATATTTACCAGCTCTCCTCTCACAGTTCTCTCACTCTCATATTTACCAGCTCTCCCTCTCACAGTTCTCTCACTCTCTCATATTTACAGTTCTCAGCTCTACCAGTTCTCCTCACAGTTCTCTCACTCTCATATTTACCAGCTCTCCTCTCACAGTTCTCTCACTCTCATATTTACCAGCCTCTCCTCTCACAGTTCTCTCTCTCATATTTACCAGCTCTCCTCTCACAGTTCTCTCACTCTCATATTACCAGCTCTCCTCCTCACAGTTCTCCACTCTCCTCATTTACCAGCTCTCCTCTCACAGTTCTCTCACTCTCATATTTACCAGCTCTCCTCTCACAGTTTCTCACTCTCATATTTACCAGCTCTCCTCTCACAGTTCTCTCACTCTCATATTTACCAGCTCTCCTCTCTCACAGTTCTCTCACTCTCATATTTACCAGCTCTCCTCTCACAGTTCTCTCACTCTCATGTTACCAGCCTCCTCTCACAGTTCCTCTCACTCTCATATTTACCAGCTCTCCTCTCACAGTTCTCTCACTCTCATATTTACTCAGCTCTCTCTCACAGTTCTCTCACTCTCATATTTACCAGCTCTCCTCTCACAGTTCTCACTCCTCATATTTACTCAGCTCTCCTCCTCACAGTTCTCTCACCTCTCATATTTACCAGCTCTCCTCTCACAGTTCTCACTCTCATGTTACCAGCTCTCCTCTCACAGTTCTCTTCACTCTCATATTACCAGCTCTCCTCCTCTCACAGTTCTCTCACTCTCATATTTACCAGCTCTCCTCTCACAGTTCTCTCTCCTCTCATATTTACCAGCTCTCCTCTCACAGTTCTCATATTTCACTCCTCTCCTCATATTTACTCTCTCTCTCTCAGTTCTCTCCTCTCATATTTACCAGCTCTCCTCTCACAGTTCTCTCACTCTCATATTTACCAGCTCTCCTCTCACAGTTCTCTCACTCTCATATTTACCAGCTCTCCTCTCACAGTTCTCTCACTCTCATATTTACCAGCTCTCCTCTCTCACAGTTCTCTACCACTCTCATGTTCATATTTACCAGCTCTCCTCTCACAGTTCTCTCACTCTCATATTTACCAGCTCTCCTCTCAGTTCTCTCACTCTCATATTTACCAGCTCTCCTCTCACAGTTCTCACTCTCATATTTACCAGCTCTCCTCTCACAGTCTCTCACTCTCATATTTACCAGCTCTCCTCTCACAGTTCTCACTCTCATATTTACCAGCTCTCCTCTCACAGTTCTCTCACTCTCATATTTACCAGCTCTCCTCTCACAGTTCTCACTCTCATATTTACCAGCTCTCCTCTCACAGTTCTCTCACTCTCATATTTACCAGCTCTCCTCTCACAGTTCTCTCACTCTCATATTTACCAGCTCTCCTCTCACAGTTCTCTCACTCTCCAGTTCTGTTACCAGCTCTCTCTCTCACAGTTCTCAGTTCTCTTATTTACCAGCTCTCCTCTCACAGTTCTCTCACTCTCATGTTTACCAGCTCTCCTCTCACAGTTCTCACTCTCATATTTACCAGCTCTCCTCTCACAGTTCTCTCACTCTCATGCTCTCCTCTCACAGTTCTCCAGCTCTCCTCTCACAGTTCTCACTCTCATATTTACCAGCTCTCTCTCACAGTTCTCTCACTCTCATATTTACCAGCTCTCCTCTCACAGTTCTCTCACTCTCATATTTACCAGCTCTCCTCTCAGTTCTCTCTCTCTCATATTTACCAGCTCTCCTCTCACAGTTCTCACTCTCATATTTACCAGCTCTCCTCTCAGTTCTCTCACTCTCATATTTACCAGCTCTCCATAGTTCTCTCACTCTCATGTTACCAGTTCTCTCTCTCTCATATTTACCAGCTCTCTCTCTCACAGTCTCTCTCCTCTCATATTTACCAGTTCTCCTCTCACAGTTCCTCTCTCTCTCATATTTACCAGCTCTCCTCTCACAGTTCTCTCACTCTCATATTTACCAGCTCTCCTCTCAGTTCTCTCCCTCTCATATTTACCAGCTCTCCTCTCAGTTCTCTCACTTATTTACCAGCTCTCCTCTCACAGTTCTCACTCTCATATTTACCAGCTCTCCTCTCACAGTTCTCTCACTCTCATATTTACCAGCTCTCCTCTCACAGTTCTCTCTCATATTTACCAGCTCTCCTCTCACAGTTCTCTCACTCTCATATTTACCAGCTCTCCTCTCACAGTTCTCACTCTTATTTACCAGCTCTCCTCTCACAGTTCTCACACTCTCTTAATTACCAGTTCTCCTCTCACAGTTCTCTCACTTATTTACCAGCTCTCCTCTCACAGTTCTCGCACTCTCATATTTATCAGCTCTCCTCTCACAGTTCTCTCACTCTCATATTTAACAACTCCCCTCTCACAGTTCTCTCGTTCTCTTATTTACCAGCTCTCCTCTCACAGTTCTCTCACTCTCATATACATGCACACACATTCATACAAACGGCTACAGACAAGCACACAAACACTCTCATACATGCATGCACACACACATACATGCACACAGCCATACACTCATTCATACATGCCTGCACACACACACACATTCATGCATACACACAGTCATACATGCAGACAGCCACATATATCCATATATAAATTGAGAAAGACACACAGACCTAAATCCATATCCATATATATATATATATATCTGTGTAGGTAGGTATGTCTCTCTCTCTGTGTGCAGGTATGTCTGTGCGTGTAGGTAGGTATGTTTTTGTTTGTTTTTGTTTTTGTGTGTGTGTGTGTGTCAATGATGATAGGTATTGTGTGGCAATATGTCTGTGTGTGTACTTAGGTATGTCTTTGTGTGTGTATGTATAGGTAGGTATGTCTGTGTGGGCCTGTTGGTAGGTATGTCAGTGTGTGTAGGTATGTATGTCTGTGTGTGTAGGTAGGTATGTCTGTGTGTGTAGGTAAGTATGTCTGTATCTGTGTGTGTAGGTAAGTATGTCTGTATCTGTGTGTGTAGGTAAGTATGTCTGTATCTGTGTGTGTAGGTGGCAAGTATGTCTGTATCTGTGTGTGTAGGTAAGTATGTCTGTATCTGTGTGTGTAGGTAAGGTATGTCTGTATCTGTGTGTGTAGGTAAGTATGTCTGTATCTGTGTGTGTAGGTAGGTATGTCTGTATCTGTGTGTGTAGGTAGGTATGTCTGTATCTGTGTGTGTAGGTAGGTATGTCTGTATCTGTGTGTGTAGGTAGGTATGTCTGTATCTGTGTGTGCCTGTAGGTAGGTAGGTATGTCTGTGTGTGTGCTTGTAGGTTACTAAGGTATATGTGTGAGTGTGTATGTGTGTAGATAGGTATGTCTGTGTGTGTAGGTAGGTATGGTATGTCTGTGTGTGTGCCTGTAGATAGGTATGTCTCTGTCTGTGTGTGCCTGTAGGTAGGTATGTTTGTGTCTGTGTGTGTGTGTAGGTAGGTATGTCTGTCTCTGTGTGTGTAGGTAGGTAGGTCGTGTCTGTGTGTGTAGGTAGGTATGTCTGTGTCTGTGTGTGCCTGTAGGTATGTGTGTCTGTGTCTGTGTGTGCCTGTAGGTATGTCTGTCTGTGTGTGTGCTTGTAGGTTACTAAGGTATATGTGTGAGTGTTTATGTGTGTAGGTAGGTATGTCTGTGCAT